TTATCAAAGAAAATCCATATCTCTGCCCATCCATATAATATCCTCTAACACTTTGTATGTTTCTTTGACAGCTGCTGGTGCATGTTACTATAAGTCATTGAAAGATGCTTTCAAGCGAAAGCAAAAGAGACAAGATGGAAAACATCGCCAAATTTGCAGGAGACAGGGGCGAGTCAGAGATGTAAGTAATGTCTGGCATTTTGTCTGTACTTGAAAATGAACATAGATTAAATCAACTTGACGATTTTTGGACGTATTATTGATAGATTTATCATTGATATGACTTTCCAGTCAGTGATGATGAGTACAATATACAAAATATAGAACAGTGTTGTATTCATTTTTTCCCTGCTTGGCAAGGTTTTCATGTTCATATGAATGCTGCTGGTGAGAGTATATGATTGAATAACTTCAAATGTCACTAGCTTCAATAAGATATTAAACTTTGTTGCATTTAAATAACTAATTATTAAGCTTCTTTTTTCTCGTATATATTTCAGAAAATGCATAGAAGGATTAATGCCTTGCAAAACATGGATTGCACCCAAGAAGATCGGGCTCGCATTGAGGACATCTTAAAGCTGGATTATACTTCCAGCGATGAAAGCGAGTACTCAGAAGACGAAGACGGTACCCTTGTTCTGATGGGTTACAAAACAAAAAAGCTGCCATGGGAAAAGAATTCCCTCACAAGAGTCAAGAAGAGTTTAGATGTAGAGTACATGGAAAGTTTGCCAGTTCGAAGTCGGCGTGGACTTCTTCCAAGAAGGGTCCATTCAGTGCCTTCTTCAAGGCAAATTCCATTAAATGCACCTTCATGGGCAGCTAGAGTAGAAGTTACACATTCAACACCAAGGGATTAGGTTAAAAATGTTATTTTTTTAATAATCTGATATATTTTATTTATTGAGCTTCACTTTTATAATAATTATTGTTCCTGTTCATATAGAGAGGATGCTTCTAATCATCAACAATTCCATAATATTCTATAGAACATTTCTGATATTAGTACTCCCTATTAAATATTGTGTATATAATATAGTAATTAAAAATGTCAATAAATTGTTATTGCTTACAGAAAACTGCCTCAGTTTTGTTTGAAAAATGGGTTTACATGGGGTTGGTTGTCTTTTTAAGAGTGGTCTTTTGTCTATTAATATGGAATATCAATTACAATGAATTAATTGTCGGTTTAGAGCCTGGTTTAAGCAATATTTATCTTTTTATAAAGGCTCCTTTCAGCAGCTTTAAGTAACATTTATGCTCGCTTAAATGGCCACTTTAAGCGCCTTTAAGTAAAGACTTAAAGTCGCTTAAACTTCGAGTCTCTTTACGCTGATAAAAGTTGTAGCTTAAAGGTAGCTTAAAGCTGAACTTTACGAAAATGTAAATGTAGATTAAAGGAGCTTAAAGATGAACTTTACGCTAGCTTTAAGTAACCTTTACGCTTACTTAAATCTATTTTTTCATGCTGTGGTACTTCCAAAAATTAGCGCGTCCAACATATAGGTCGTTGATCATGATTACGAACARCCAAGGGCCGAGTTTGGTCCCTTGGGGGACACCGGCTGGAACACTCTTCCACTCAGAGTAACAATCYTGAGATAACTTAACTCTTTGTTCTCGGTTTGTGAGAAAATCTGCAATCCACTGGACAGTCCAAGAGGGTAAATTATACTGAGCTAGTTTGTTGAGGAGGATCCGATGATCAATCAGATCAAAGGCCTTCTTAAAGTCAAACAGAACCACACGTACGGTGGAACCATTCCCATCAGTGTTCTTATACCAGCTATGCAACATGCTGACAAGTGCATGAACGGTCGAGGAATTGGGTACAGTCCCGAATTGATTCGGRTCGATTTTCTCCAATACAGCAGGTTTGACATATCCTTYGACGACAAAATCCTCAGCCACCTTCGCAAGAATTGGTGTTAAGGAGATTGGYCTTAAGTGTTTATTTATATCTGTTACGTGTGACGTCTTTGGGAGAGGYGTAAYATTGGCTTTTTTCCAAGAACTTGGTAGACGACGTTCCCGAAAGGAGGAGTTCAAAATATCTGCTACGGGTGCCGCTAGTAAATCCGCATTTTCCTTTAGAAGCCAAGATGGTATGCCGTCAGGCCCTGGCGCTTTGTTGGAATTGAGCGCCAGTAATTTCTTAAGAAYAGAGWACTCGGTGACAAGTCCAGAAAGAGATCCCGGTGAGAGTAAGTTGRCGTCTGCGGGCTGATCTGGAGAAGTCAGAGGATTAAAGATGGTCATTGGTGACAGAAAGGCATCATTGATTATACCGGCGAGGCGCTTCGGGCTTTCCCCTTCAGTAGCAAGATGTCGCAGATCATCCAAAGGACTCGCCCGTTCAGCCTTAGCGAAACCACTCAGTTTTTTAACTTCCTTCCACCAGAGCGCGGGATTGCAGTTCTTCAGATCTTTAACTTTCCCATTGTAGTATTTACCACGACATGCTTTCCTGACRCGRTTTACTTTGTTCCTTAGCMGATTGTATTCAGACGTATTGTCTYTAGCCAAGGCCTTTTGGCGACGACGGATGAGTGATTTCAAGGAGTTGTTCACCCATGGCGGCTCGTTRATAGACACCTTCTTTTCTYTSATGGGCATAATTGTGTCCATTCCAGTAATGATAACCTCCTCTAGTATCTGTACCTTCTCTTCGCACGAWTCCTTGCCTTCTACGAGATCTTTGATGTTTACTGATTTCAAATAGGAGGTTAGAGCACCCCTGTTACTCTCTCGTTGATCTCTCGTGATGATTGTTCGGTTTGATGACTGTGTTTTGCAGCGAGACAAGGGCTGTAGTTCTACAGTTGCATGGTCGGACAGGCCAAAAGCTGGGCGTTTAATAGGCTCCTCATAGAAATCTTTCAAATTGGTTAGAATGAGATCTAAGGTCCTWTTTCCTCTGGTATGGAATTTAACAATTTGTTGTAGTTTGAAGGCGTTTTTAAATCTAGAAGTATCCAGCCTGTTGAAATCACCAGCAATCAGAATTCCGCAGTTCGAATAGCGGGATTCAATTCTGGACATGGATTCGTAGAGATAGTTCAAAATCTCKGGATCTGAAACGCCTTTGTCCGTTTGTGGATGGTAAACATTACCGATGATTATGTTGGATAWTCCCCTAGGGAGACGCGAAGGTCGAAGATGAATCCAAATGGCTTCGATTTTTTCGTCATATAGATCGTCCAATACGGTATACTTCAACCCTTTCTTGATGTAAGTGCAAACGCCTCCATGAAGAACGCCTATCCTGTCCCTTCTAGCTAGGTTATACCCAGGAATACTAACGATGTTGTTGTGTATGTGTTCATTCAGCCAGGTTTCTGTTATACATGCAATGTCNGTGGACACTTCCCATGCATGGTTATAACTTAGATTATAACCATATCAACTCGAATTACGTGGCCCTCAAAAAAATAATCGCTAACATTAGACAAACCAAAAAAACATGCCTTTTCAATTTCCTGTTTTATAACAGCGTCGCTTTTGAATTTCTTCTCTGGACTAAGTGTCAAATCTAAGAGTTCAGGCTATAATTAAAGAATTCATAACATTAATAAATGATAAAGAGATTATAGATATTAGTATAATTTAGGAATACTTATAGTAACTTGTATTTTATGTAGTCTATGAAAAAAGCCAATTTCAATAAAAAATATTTAATCAAAAACTGTTAAGTGGTGTCAAATTAAAGTGTACTGTACACTGATTCCATAAGTCATAGCTCCTTAGAATTTCAGTTTGCTGCTCAAACTAATTTTGGATACATGTAGCTTTGTATTATTCCGACTTTCCTCCGATACATGTTCTCATTCTTCTTCACATACCTTCGTTATTAATTGTGAGAATCGGGCTTCCTRTGTTATTACATCACTAAATATTACGGGCCTCCTGTTTAATGTCATCATAGTTTGATTATCCTACTTTTCCCTGGATTATTCCTACTATTGCCTGTACCAATTTTCTCTGTGGGCTTCCGTAGGAAGCTCACGTCTTAAATCACCACTGACTTTTCTCCGTTGACTGCCACAAATTGGTAGCAAAATTATACCGATGGTCAGCAGCCTCAAAGCCTAGTTTGATCTAGTGAGTCATTGGATTATTATGTTGTTGTTATTCCAAATTCGTTTTTTATCATTCGTTGAAGTAATATTTTGCTTATCGCTAACATGGCCAAATTTTTCAAATTTGCATGTGTAGAGGTCAAGTGAACACTCTTCATTACTTTCAAATGCCTGAAATATCCGTTATGACCCATAAACTATAAAAAACCTATTAATGTTTTGCAAGCAATGATAATGATTTTGTTTCAATAAAAGTACATCTTTAAAATCATCTTTCTGATCTCAAATATGATCACCTTTACCATTATTCGTATTACCACAGGAAGCCTACATGTATTATGTGATCTGAGATTGTCTAGTTTCTAGAATAAATATCACATTTTTGTATAAATCTAGTTAAGTCATTTTGGCTTGCAACATATATTTTGCCACAGGGAACCCAATCACATGATTCTTTTTTACTTGAAAGTATTGACATTAAAAAAAAAAAGGATCCCAAAAGAGTGATTTCTCTCATTTGTTTGACCATGTTTTACTCTATATTTTCTTTCTTTCTTTTGCTTTAATGCTCAATTTTCATTAAAATTTGCTCACACTACCCATGGTTATGTGTTCATAAATATTTTGCTTTTTATCTTCAATAATTAGAACCAAAAAAATTAAAATTAATTAGTTAATTAATTAATAAGTGATTTTACCCAATAAAATGTCTGCTGATTGGTTAAAAAATGTTTTTCTAATTACTCGGGGAAAGCTTACCTTTCCAATTTCCTGTTTTATACTAGTGTCACTTTTGAATTTCTTCTCTGGACTAAGTGTCAAATCTAAGAGTTCAGGCTACAATTAAAGAAGTCATAACATTAATAAATGAAATATATATAATTATATAAATAATTTAAGTTAAATAATTTAAGTTAATAATTTTTAGTCTAAATTATTAAACCTAATACGTTTAAACTTAAACCTATTTTACGAAGCCAAATACAAACACTCATCAATAKTRACAAATATRCTTATTGATGAAATATAACGCCGATATATTCATTGTTTAATATCTCATCTCCTTTTTTCTACACAAGCGGGCTTCCAGTCTGATTTTTAAATACTTAAAAGTATTATATAATAGGAAGAATACTTAGCATCATTTGCATCACAAACGTCTGTGCATAATGGCGTGACCGCATGAATAATTCATTACATTGATGGACTAGGATGGAACAAAGATTGAAAAGATTTACCTTATCGTCCATATGCATATCCCTCGTGTTCACATTCGCCATCTTGGAAGCTAGAAGGAATGGGTAAATCCGCTGACCAGACTCATAACTCACTGACTCATAACTCATGACTCATGACTCATGACTCATTTGACTCATAAAACAAGGTTCTTCAAATAATGGGGGCTGCTCATTTGAAACAAGAGCCATACCACCCTGTCAGTGTGCCCTACCCTTATTATGCAAACAGCCCTATAATCACAAAAAAACAACAATAACAATACACCCTATGCAAAAAGAGGAAGACTGGTGCCGAGTAGCATGAAAGCGAGGTCCTAAAGGCCTCTCGCGGGATTTTCCATGGTCATGTTTTGAAAAATATGGCATCTCTACGTACTCTTACCGAAGAAGATATTCCCGGTGCCTCACTTTTGGGACGGAATCCTTCAACTTTAAAGATCGATGAGCTTCGTTTTTGGCTGAAATGTAGAGGAGACTTGAGCAAAGGCCTAAAAACGAGAGCTCAGTTTTTCAAAAGGTGAGTGTGGCAGTTCGCGTATACGTCTTTACTTACGACCTGTCAAAATGCAAAATCGTCTAAAAATCACGTATAATGCACACTTTAATATGTTTTTGAATGGGAATCTATCGAAACTTAATAACTATGGCTTCATGAGGACTCCGAAACGTGTAAAGTTTTGTGAATTCTTAGTTCCCGAGTTGATAGTGGTTGTTCGCGCTATACAAAACTGTCGATCTGTGAAAGTTCTCATAGGATAATATCGCATAAAAAAGGCGTTAAATGCACAGTTACATAGGTTTTTGAATGAAAATTGCTGGGGGTTTACTTTTTATGGCTTCATAAACACCCAGAAAAGTTAAACATTCTGTGAATTCGTAGTTCATGAATTATCGAAGTTTATCTGTGTTGTGAAAATATGAAGTCATGTTGTTGTCTTTCTTGTCTAACTACTATTATTGAATATCTGTAGGGTTCAGGAATATATTGACACTGGTCGGGATAAGAACATTGTAGATCCTGATCCTCAACTTATCTACACCAGAAGGAAAGAGCGACTAGATAATGTATCTCCACAACAAGTACAAGGACCGCAAAAGTCTTCCATCATATACCCAACTACAGGATGGTCTTCATGTCTTAAAAGAATGCCCTTCTTTACTAGAGCAGAGATGAACATTCATGTTGCTCAGTCAGGAAAAACTTTAGGATCAACAAGCAAGATCCACAATGTGCCAACAAGCCTAAGAAAGGCCAAGACATTTTTAGTTGACGAATATTTTAAAGACTTAACTGCTGCAAGTGACGAGCAATGTTTTTATTTCAAGTGTCTCTGTTATCACAGCATGAGAAAGCATGAGACTGAACATCAACTGAAAATTGCTTTATGCGTAATTACTGGTCAGGTTAAACATGCAGTGTGTACTTGTGTTGCAGGAAAGACTGGGTTTTGTAATCATGTCTTAGGCCTAATGATTAAACTTTGTAAATTCAGTATGTATGCCTGTACAGACATCAGGGAATTAAGTAATGACGAAGATATGAAACCCAAAGTAGCCTGTACATCAACATTGCAAATGTGGCACAGGACAGGGAGAGGTGAAAAAATCAAAGCTCTGCCTGTGATGGAGGTTGTTGTACAGAAAACCAAGCTGGGATTGACAGAGTCAACAGAAGGACTCAAGTGTAGACTATATGAAGCAAGGAAAACCTTAAAATCTCAAGAAACAGCAGAATCTAAATTGAAAAGAGAATTGGAGAAAATTAACCCCAAAATGGGATTCTGTCAAGCTTTTAATACTGGCCCATCCAAGTATGTAAGCACCAGATTTGGAAAATCTCCAGCAGGATCTTATGGTAGTTATCAGCTGGATTTCACAGAGTCAAATTTTCAAGTTTATTGCAATATAGATGTTGTTCCTCGATTGGACAGTAACCACAACATAACAGCTTACCCCTCATTCCCACTTCAAGATACAAATGATTTTATTATTAACGATATTGCTTCACTGGATGCTGATCAGCAAAGTTTAATCAATTACGTCATTATTAATGAACAGCAAATAAACAATGTAGAACGTAAAACAAGAGAACAATCTGACTGTCTAGACTGGAAAGAAGAAAGGAAATTTAGATTGACTTCATCCAATTTCAAAGCCATTGCTATCAGACAAAGGAATCATGAGACGTTTGTTGGAAATCTTATCAATCCTAAGCCGTTTACCTCTAGATATACAGAACATGGCAAGAAGTATGAGCAAGTTGCATTACAGCAATATGAGAGTTACATGTTCTCAACAAGAAGACCAGTCATTGATTGTGGCTGTGAAAAACCATTTGGTATAGCAGAGGTCAAATGTCCACTAACAAAATTCAATGTCACTCCACTTGATGCCTGCATTGATCAAGGGTTCTTTGCAGAGAAAGTCCAAGATATGCCAAAGCTCAAGAGAAATCATGCTTATTTCTACCAAGTTCAAGGACAGCTTGCAGCCACAAGAGCGAGCTGGTGTGACTTTATCATTTATACCAGTATGGGCATGAGTATTGAAAGGATTCTCTTTGACCAGGAATTTTGGAATACTCTATCAGAGAAGTTAAAGTTATACTATTATAAGCAATTTTTAGTCCATGCCTCTTACCATTTTTCTGCAAACAGGCAAATCTAAAGTGTAAACAATCTATTTTGTACATTAGCCTGTAGGGGATTTTAGGTACATAATTAGATGATCCATATAACTAAAGCTTGACAGAATTCAATTTCAGAATTCAATTTCCTTGATTAATTAATTAATTTATTGCATGTAGATATGATTTATTTATTTATCAATTTATTTATCTGTGACATGGGCTCCCTGTGGTTCATGTGAGAGGGCCTGGTGCCGAGGTTCTCTCCATGCTTGTTTTTGGACGAATTATTATCATAACATTTTATGCGAGAATCGCTGGATTTTAGAGATTATATTAGGCCATCCTGTGCTAATCTTTTGGTCATTGGAAGTTAACCTGTTACTTGTAAGTTACTTGTAAGTTTTTAATCACATATTTCATTGTTCGACATAGTTTGGTGCACTTTTGTTTGTGCTTGAGTGCAGTCGCTTTGTCTCGCTAATTTGCCTTTTGTTCTATCACATTATCGATTCTTATAGGACTTAAACAATCCATACTATACATGCAAGGTCTCTAGGACATATTATTTAGTTCCAACCGTCGGGGTAAGCCTATATTTTGGTTGTTATTTTACTAGTAAGCCACCTCGGCTAGCAGGTCATATTTTAGTACCGTGTCAACTACTATTTGTAGAACATGCTGTAAAAATAGACTCTGTTGTAGTGGATAGTTAACTTAATTAGACTTATTGTAACACTGAATGTATATTCTTTAGGTCTTTGTTTGTGTATTAAATAAACACTGGACGAATTCAAAAAGTACCTGTGTCACATATCTATTGCAGTCATGTAGATATGAAATCAACTTTGTCTAATTTCCTTGATTAATTAATTAATTTATTGCATGTAGATATGATTTATTTATTTATCAATTTATTTATCTATTGCAGTCATGTAGATATGAAATCAAAGAGTACAAGCTCTAAATCTGTGCATGAATAGTACAAAATTGCAGTAAAATATGCTGATTCTAGTGTTTGCACTCTAATAAAAGGATGTTAATACCATTGTACTTTGACTTTGATAAAGTGAAATTCTTTAAACATATGACAGAACCATTGTTATGTAATGGACCTCAAGTCTTTACTATGGATACAAAAGAATTAGCTTCAAAATCTTATTATAATCACTAGAGAACTATAAACCACAGAAAACCTACAATAATGCATTGTTTGACAGATCTGAATAAAAGTCACCTTTATATTGTCATTTTTTTTTTTATACAATTATTATAGTTGCCTGGCCTGGACATCAAACTTGTACATGAACAGTTTAGTAATATAAACCTTTCTATACAGAAATTATTGGGTCTTGCATATTACATAAAAATGCACAGACAGTCCACATCTGGTTTACAACACCAAATAAGCTCAGTGGTACTACTGAATCCCAGACATGAAAGTTTTTAATTTTGTTTATGGCGCGCTCGATATGTATACGTAAACTTGCAATTTGTTGTGTCTTAACCACATCATCCCCAGACATCTGTGAACTATCTCCAAGGAATGGAGGGATATTTGTGTTAACTCCCAAAGGGAGAATATCATCAATTGTAAAGCCTTTGTCAGCCATTATTGTGTCATTGTCCTCAAATTCTAAATCCAGCAGACCACTCCTTGATACGATTTCTTTGTCAGATATATTTCCAGGATACATTTGACTTATGAATGTCATAGCTCCACTAGGAGAGATGCCTACCAGGCCTTTAAGGGTAACATGGTTTTTGTAGGAGCTAAAAAGTTCACTATTGAGGAGAAGACTACTGGGCATCTGCCACCTGATCTCAGTGCAGTCAATGATGACACGAGTTGTAGGATATTTCTCTCGAAAACACTCTGGCATAGTTTCGTCTACTTTTTCCCTTGAGGGCCAAATACAAATTTTTGAAAACTTAAGGTACATGTAGTTAAACCATGCTGTAAGTGTCCTACTCACAGTTGACTGTGAGATGCCATATAGGTGACCTAGATGTCTCTCGCAGAATCCTCTTCTGAGTCTGCAGAGAACGAGGAAAACCTCCTCAATCGGCTTCAGTGCCCGAGATCTACCGCGTTTTCGAGACTTTTCTTCGACATCGTCCAACAACTCGTCATCACTTTCTTCACTCTCGTCAGCTTGGTTGTAAAAATCATCATCCACGCTTGTATTGTTATTGCCGTTGTACCGGATATTTTCGCCTTTCTCGCCTGGATCGAGAAAATTATACACTGCAAGGAATGTCTGGTAGTTTGGAAATCCAGTATAATAGCATATTTCTTCATCTTCCGTGAAATGTTCGAGAGTGAACACTCTTGACTCCGTTGTTTTGAATCGAACTTCTAAAGCCGACAACTTCGTTTTCAACATCGTATTTTCGCTTTCAAGAGACTGAATCCTTGTATTAGCTTCTTCTAGCTTCTTCTTCAACTCATACAAAGTTTCTTTTATATTTAATTCGCTCTCTTCTAGAATAGAAGAAGCAGTAGAGCTTTGTGACAACTCTTCAATAGACTCTAAAGTCTCAATTTGATCGCCCTTCTTGACTTTCATGGTCGGTTCGGGTCTTGTCGTGGGTGCTTTTCTTTTATTAGATGTCACAGTCCACGAAAACTTAGAGGGAACTGTCCCAGGCTTTAGAGTGACAATGCCTGCAAGAGATTTCTTCATGTCTGTGGTTTCAAAGTGCCGAGAGCACACTTTTGTTGTCGTAGTAACTTTGAAGTCGTTTTTCTCTTCACGGCGAATGGCATGAAGCCATCGACGCTTCAAATTTTGCTCTTTAGGGAAGCAAAAAAACGATATTTTCTCTCCGGTCTTCGTATCCTTGTATCCCTTGTGGGTACAGAGAGGGACACAACAATGTGTTGGCATTACTAACGCTTAAATCAAAGTAAATACACTTCAAAAACAAGAAAAACGTAAAAATTGCTTACGAGCAGTTGTGAATGAGGCCTTTAGGACCTCGCTTTCATGTGTGTCTAGTAACCAGTCTTCCTCTTTTTGCATAGGGTGTATGAAATCAATAATAAGGACCTGTATTTAACCTGAAAAATGAGCCAGCTTCAACAAAAGTATAATATAAGCACGTGTGTCAACACCATCTATGTAATCAAAACTGTACAAAATATATTTAAATAAATAATTTTTAGATGAATTTTAAAATATATCCTCAAGTACATCCATAAAATACAACATAAATAGTGAAATTGCGAAGTAGACAGTTCCAAACATCGATAATTCTATCTCAGACGAAATCATTTTTGCGTAAATACTTATGTTTGATACAAAAGCTTTGGTTCTTTTTGGCCTTTTAGGCTTTCCTACACCTCCTCTGTCTTGTAGGCCTTGAGGGTTAACATCTTGCATGACAGTATACACAAGATTTCTCGATACATTAAGTCCATGTACATCTCGAATTTTCTTGTGTAGAGCTCTATACCCCAGCAGCTTCCCCGGACCTTCCATTTCTATCTTGACGGCGTCTCTAACGCTTTCCAATTCAATGTTATAGTCTACATATTTTATGTCAAAGTGTTGAAGCCGGCGTGTAAGTGTGCGRATGCTCCATGCATATTCCGGATACCGCTTTTCTACCAAACCAAGTATTTCGTACTTGTGAAGATTCTGGCGAACATATGTAGCTAGATCATTCTTCAAAGCAATGTTTTCTTTCCATTCATCGTTCGCCAATTTGACACGTGAAGAGGATAAATAAACATAGCGCGCGCGTTGCATGATGGGCTATGGACTTCCTGGTCTTATGGCCTCGATGGGCCATACAGGGTTTTTTTTTCCTTTTTTCTTTTTTCTTTTTTGAGGTTTTGCAATTAAAATGATTCAAAAACAATTGAATTAAATTGAACAAATTTCGGATTTTTTTTCAAATAAGAAATGAATCAAAATGAATTAAAAAAATTAAAACCAGAATATTTGCTTTTTTAATTGTAATCTATAAGAAATAATTTGAAATGAACTAAAACTTAAAAAAGTTACAAAACGGTATTTTTGATAAAAAATAAATAAAATAAATGAAAAAAAAACAACAAACAAACAAACAAACAAACCAAACCAAAAATAAAATAAAACAAAACAAACAAACAAAAATAAATTTAGTAAATATTCATTTGTTGGTTAATTAAAGCTGGGTGATTTGAGAAAATGCGACTAGCCAATCAACGCAAAGCTGACAAGCTTATGTTGTAAACATAACCCCCCTGACGGGAGGAATTTGCACAGCAAAACTCGACCCAGTGGAGTAGGCTGCCTGTTATTTTATTCTATCCGAAAAATCGAAGCTAAAACGCAAAGAGAAATGAAAATCTTTATAAAATAGCTTTTAAATGTTAATCAAATATTTATCGTTATAGAAATAGATTTTTATCTTAAAAATGAAATAACAAATATTTCTTTCTTTAATACCACGAGACTTCCCTCACTGGTAAAAATAATTGTTCTGTGTTCTATGCGGGTTCTCCTTTGAATGCGAATCAATGGCCGACTTCACGAAGACTTCAGAAGGTCTTTGAAGCGATGTTCAAGTCCAAAGTATCTTAGGAGGAGCCATTGCAAATCTTTTTTCATAGCTCTTGTTTCCTCTAAGCTTTGAGGCATCTACAACATCACTGGAAGAGCTATAGAGCAGCTTAGGTCCACGTATTCCAATAGAGTTAAAGCATTTGTTATCTTTCATTGGTACAAACAACTGTCGTAGTTCATCCGTTATGGTCGTTATGTAACAGGTCAGTTACACATTTACCAGCTTTGAACTTACAACGAGAGACAGAACGGTGCACGGTGACTGCGGTTTTTCGTGTAATGTCTTGATAGCGACTGTTTATGTCGAAACAACAAAATTCCATCGTGAAAAAAGCTCGACTAAATTCCCTTCTGAAAAACACGTGCGTATTTAAGGTGGAAAATGTTTCATATGAGCATTCAATTCTTAAAGGTTTAATTCTATAATCATTTTGTTTAGTTATGTAAATAAATTTAACACGACTTGTACTGTTTGTCTGAATCAATGGCGAGCTGCGGGTTTTCCCTTTTCTTTATTTACACTTTCAAATATGACCGCTTAACAAATATGAACGGGCTCACTGGCTTACAACCTTGGCGAATTCATATGCAGGCCTGGTCGCAAATCAATCACCCAGAAAGAAAGAAAAATGTAATAAGAAAAAAATGAAAAATATATATCTAAGCAGAAAAAAAGGAAAAACAAAAACAAAACATTTTTGGCAAAAATGTAGCCTGAATCAGGCTAGCAAAAATGTAAGTAAAATGAAAATGATGTCAATATAAAAATTGAAAAATAAAATAGTATTAATTAAAATATGACAAAAAGGAAAACAGAAAACAATGTTTTTTAACAGAAAAAATACGAAATTCGCTATGGCCTCGATGGGCCACCATACAAATCCATGAAAATATGCAGTACATTAATTTGAGAGGATTGAAAGGGTAAAAGACTTTGGCCTAAAAAAGGATAGAAACAAAAAATAAGAAAACTCGTTGCTAAGTGCGAACTATTCCATGTTTTAATTGTTTTTCGGCAAAAAACTGTTGACCTAACATCTACACAGGAAGATGGGAAAGCACTCAGAGCAATTATCAGTAAGTGATTTGACGATTAACAAATGNTCCAAGATCCCTTAATCTCCATTCCCTGAAGATGCTGTAGAAAGAGAAAGCTTGGAATCACAGACTTTATAAAATCTTACGATTAGCAGCCAAGGCTTCATTTGACACTATCCTTATACAAATACGCATAAAGCTGCTAAAGGATAAATATCTTCAACAGTGGGATTCCGAGAAAATCTATGTTTAATCAGCAAATCAGAAGCAAGGTGCTTATTGCAAGCCGATTATTGATTAAAAAAAAGATAGAAAGAAACAGCAATTTTGAAGTGCTTTCATTTTTTTCCTGTAATCCAACTTTCAACAGTAATATTCTTATAACATAACAGTTTCTCTTTTTAAATGCTTCAATCTCTCTAAAAATTATTACTTAAGAAATAAAACATTTTTTCCGTGCCTTCATAGCTATGAAAATACCGAGGCGTTTGTTTGGGAGAATTCGAGAGCAGATCAGTGAAGCACGAGACCGCAATGATTTATTTCTTTCATAAAAAACACTTTAGATATCCAATGTAACTTTTTTGATAAAAATACGGTTTCTCATTACAGCAAACATTTCAATGTTTTTTTTCAACAAAATGTAAAAATCAAGCCGCCAATGGCAACACAACTCGAAGATTGATTGTGCAGACGAATACAGAAAKATATAATGATGAATCAAATTATAATTACTTAACGAATAGAATTTTAAATAAACGATTTATGAATATAGTTTTATAATTTAACTTCGGTTCTGGATAAACACAAGCGAGCGCCGGTGAGATGAATACCACTCGAGCGACAACTATGAGTAAATGCTGCCACGACCAGAAGCGCTACATCTGGATCCGAAAAACAAATAAAATCACCGCAAGTGTCAAAAAACAATAACAACTAAATCCCTAAGAAAACTTGGAGTTCAATTATTAAACAAACAATATAAATTTCAATGTTGGTGGGCGAAAAAAAATTGAGTTTGCCTAATAAAAATTATTCGCAAGGAAAACCAGAATACCAGAGCACAGGTGAAGCAAATCGACGAATACTAGTGATCACATGATCACGTGGGCTTCCAACATAAAGAGCTTAAAGTTACATTATGGCTTCATTTCTCTACATTCATTACTGATGAAATTACCCAAAAATTACTAAGTTTGACTTTTGTTTTAGCCACAAATATGTGAAATTTGCGATCTTTGGGTAAATGCTACCACGTCTGGCAGCGAAAGACGCAAAAAAATCACCGCAAGTGTCAAAAATGGTAACTAGCAAGCTTGAAACTTCACAAATACAAAATCCTAGTCCAATTCTTCAGTGAGAARGCTTTTGTTATTTCTTTTARGCAGTTGTTGATAGTTTTTGAGTACTTTTTTCTCTGTTATCGGCGAAGTGTCCGCCATCTTGGATTCTTGAGAAAAGTTTTCAGTTACAAAGAAAGCTTGATTCTTATTGGCTGAAAACATTTCTTTTGTTTCTTAGCCAATCAAAAGCGCAAGTTTGTTTGTAATTGCACTGATATTACAGCTTTTTGCACTGTTCAATCTGTTGTAATTGCACTGCAGAAATGTAATTGCACTGAATTAAGAATTAATGGGGATGTTATCAGCCAATCAGAATTGAGTAATTTTTTCATGTATATTATTAAGACCGAAATAATACTGTTCGACAAGTTTCAAACACATGCGCGGCATTTTGAGATTTTTCCACTTTAGTTCTAGAACTAAACGTCAGGCAGTCGACTTTTTTGTGAAAAGTCGTCGGAACAACTTTAATTTCATTTAATAGCACAAGATAAATGGAATAAAGACCGAAATAAGGTCTTGGGCAAAAATTAGCAGGGGGAGGGGAGGTGGAAGTTGAAAAGTGGGCACTGGGAATAGGGTGACCAACCATAGTGGGGAAGTGCAATTTTCTACTGATATTAGACGGGCAAAATATCGTGACCCTCCCCGTCCCCCTTCAACCATTACCAGAACAATTTTTCATTGCTTCCAAGCATCCARTGAATGGTGCAGGGCCTATGATTGGACCATTCTTTCTTCATTTTGAAGGGATAAGGGTTATGATATTTGATATGCAGTTGATAAGGACAGTTAGTGCATCTATTGTTCACTTTATACATTTGATATACTTTGTTTGTCTTTGTTGTTGTGGCTATTGAACCAAATAAAACACTTTTTTTATCTGTTTATACTGTGAACCAATTATTTTTATCATTAACTGCCTATCAAATATCCTAATAATTATCCCTTCAA